TCGATTTGGGTGGTGGCACCTTCGATGTGTCCGTCCTCAATCGAGAGAATGGACACATCGAAGGTGCCACCACCCAAATCGAAGATCAACACATTGCGTTCAGCTCCCACCTTCTTGTCCAAACCATACGCGATGGCAGCCGCAGTGGGCTCGTTGATGATTCGAAGAACGTTCAAGCCCGATATGGCACCAGCATCCTTCGTGGCTTGACGCTGACTGTCGTTGAAGTAGGCTGGCACAGTAATCACGGCGTCTGTCACTGTCTTCCCAAGGTAAGCCTCAGCTGTCTCCTTCATCTTCAACAACACCATGGAGGAGATCTCTTCTGCAAAGAACGACTTCTTCTCACCCTTGAACTCCACCTCGATCTTCGGTTTGCCACCGGAGTTGATCACATGGAAGGGCCAATGTTTCATATCATCCTGCACAATACTATCATCAAATCGACGACCAATGAGACGTTTGGCATCGAAAACAGTGTTGGTAGGATTCATAGCCACCTGGTTCTTGGCAGCATCACCGATCAGACGCTCGGTGTCGGTGAAAGCGACATAACTGGGGGTAGTGCGATTGCCCTGGTCATTAGCTATGATTTCCACTTTTCCATGTTGGAATACACCAACGCAAGAGAAAGTAGTACCAAGATCAATTCCAACAGCTGGTCCTTTAGACATCTCTTTCGTATTTCCTCTCAGTGTAATGTGATAATCGGGGCTGCTGGACCGCCCATATATAGATGCCACCCACTCAGGACACATTTCTATTTGCTAACCAATCAGTGTCGCGCATACTTTCTGCTGATTGGTTAGCTCAATCGTTCTAAACTGCAGTCACGCGCTTACGCTCACTCTGTTCTATTTTGTGCTTGTGATGTTCTAGAAATCGTTCCAAACTTCTGCATGCTTCTAGAACAATCTTTTGACATTCTAGATTTCGAATTTCAGTTTTAACGCATTACTCCCGATTTTAGCTGTGCAGTGGAATAAGTTTGTTTGCTGACTTAAATAATTTAACAAGGGGTGTGCGATAGACTTACCTCCACGTGGTGCACCCTGGGCAACGTATACTCATACGGCAAAAAAGTCTATTA